AGTATTGTAAATGACTACGCTGTTTTAGCTTTTTGGTATAATTATTCCCTTTGGAACTTTTTGTTATTTCCACCGTTCGTTCCTTCTCGCATTTTCTTATAAAATGGCTGCAATTGTAGCAATTTGGCTAATTTGCACGATAAAATCTCCCCATTATTTTCTACTTTTTTCTGCATCTGTTTCTTGTAACCTTTCTATTTGTATTCGAAAGTCTTCTCATTTTTGTCTTGACATTGCAAAACTCCTTGAAGACAAGTATAAATATTCAGTAATCTTTTCATTGTAGAAGCGGGTACTTTCTTTTGCATTTGAAGATGACGAGGAGGAAGAGGAGGAACCAGTCATTGTCAAGAAAGTGAGTTATTTTAGCGGTTCTACACTTCTCCTTTGTTACTCAGTTGAAGCTTATAAGTTATAAACTTTCATGTCTATTTTATGATTATCTTCATTTAGAGAGTTGGAATGGACCCAACAATTGACACAAGTTTTCTTCCGGATAAGGAACGTGAAGCTGAGATTGCTAGGTAAACTTCATTCCTTCTGTAATTATTTAATGCTGAATGAAATTTCACTTATTTGAACTTTAGGAGAAAGGAAGAGTTAGCTGCCGAGTGGAGGGCACAACAAGAAAGGGAGAAAAATGAAGAAATAACAGTGGCTTTTGCTTATTGGGATGGATCTAGTCATAGGAAAAATTTGAAGGTCAAGAAGGGAAATACAATATCGCAGTTTTTGGGCTGGGCTATAGAGGTAAGTTATCGTAGCCGATAGTGTTTGGCTATAACTGTTATTTTAGGTTTTGAAAAAAGAGTTTACGGAACTAAAGACAAGCGTACCTGAAAACCTAATGTTTGTCAAGGAGGACCTTATCATTCCTCATTTCTACACGTGAGTAATTATATTTGTAGGAGTTCACACTCTATGATGGCTGCAACAGGTGTAACATCTTGCATAAGATATTTGTAGTCCCCCATTCCTATCAAAGTTCTTGACTTCTGCAGAGCAATACATTCTCTCACTTATTATAGTTTTTGCAAGGGCTTCAAG